AATCAGCTCAAGATTAATATTTATTTAGTACTTGATTTTAGGAAAACAATTTCAGAAGGTGTCAAAATATTTGAACATTTGATTCAGTATGGTTACAGGTTGTTGTGAAACAATAGTTATTTAATAAAATTGATAATAAAGTAACTCTAATAGGTATAATGAGTGAGAGAAAAAAAAAGCCACTCAGCTTTTCGAGTGAGCAGATTCGGTTCCATTCGCAGGCGCTTACTGTGGTGTGACACAGAAACTATGAAGGCGGCGTGAGACACCAGTTACCTAAGTCAAGTGACCTGGAGGTCGTTCGGGTCGGTCCTTTTATTTCTGAGAGTTGTATGTTTATGAAAGCACGCACTTTTCTCTAGTTAAAACAGAGCTCCTATATTAAATGTGATGCATCCAGAGGCTCCGAAACGTCCACAGCATTCATTGCTCTTACGCATTTCAGCACACAGGCAGAGACACATTGAGACATCGTGCGGTTTTATTCTAAACCTTTACCATGAGTGAGGCATCGACACTGTGAGACTGGGTGCACCAGTGTACATGGGGAAATTGGCTCTTGCCTTGGTCTTTCTTTATGTTTTTATCTAAATTGTGTTTCTGGCAGATAAAACAAGTTGTGACCTGCTTGACAGGAGGGATAAGTGTTTTTATCAATTTTTGTGGCGGGGATATTTAGGATTTTCTCTTTTCCTGATGTAGAAGCTTATAGAGGCTGTAAACTGAATTTTGTTTCCAGTTAGCCTTTTCCAGTGGTTACCTTTTGGGGGTCCCTGAGTGCCGCTTAGAGGTAGCAGGGGACCCATTCCTCCCAACTGGGCATTGAGGGGCTTAAGTGAGAAGAGAAAGATCCCTGATGAGCCGGAGCTGTGTGTCTGGGGGTTCTAGAAGGAGCCAGGGAAGTGCAGGCCTCCGCAGTGAAGTCCTGCTCACCGGAAGTGGGCAGAGGTGGTGCCCGGCAGGGATCCAGTGCTCAGCCAGGACTTGATGGGGTGACATTCAGACCATGCTCCCATGAGAGGCCCGGATGCAGGATGAAGCCCCCAGAGAACAGGCCTTAGACCACAGCCAGGAGGAAGGATCCCCAGCCCAGAATCCCTGCAGGAGGAAGTGATGGGGCTGGACTCAGCTCCAGGCCACCTGTGAGAGGGTCACCTGGCTGCAGTTAGTCATGGGTAGGATACAAAGGGCATCATCCTGGGGGCAGGAAGAGGAGCAGCCCCATCTCACAGAGAGCCCCGAGAAAGACAGCAAAGACTGCTACTGCTCCTGCCACTGGCAGAGCAGGGCCACGAAGACCATCATGATGAAAGAGATGACAGGGGCCTTCCCGGCCGAGAAGCTTTATCCGAACCCTGAGAGCTGGGAGCACTTGGCATGGTGCCGGCACAGAGGGGTGCCCAGGCTGCCCGTGTATGCCCTGTGACTGACTGCAGCTTCTACCCTAGTAGTGCTGCCTTGTCACCGGCTCCCAGAGCTTCTGTCCCAGGCTGTGAGTTCTTCTGTGCCTACAGGATGGCAGCCCTCCCCTCGTGCTGTCCCCAGGTCCTCAGAGAGCTAAAGCCACCCCTTCTCCATTACCACAGTCTTCACTTACTGCACTGCAGCGTCTGCTTTAGAAAACAGAAACTCCTGTTCCTCTTGTGACAGTGGGGTCATGGCACCTGCATCTGGGTGGCCCCAGCAGGGAACCCACCTTAGGCAAGAGCTGGCTGGCAACAGCACAGTGGCCCTCCTTGTCCTTCCCTTGCCCTCATGCCGATGTCCATCGAGCAGCTCCGTGTCAGGGTCACCTTTGCAGGGCTTCTGTGGCTAAAGCATCTCCAGATTGCCTGACAGCCTGCCGGCCCTGGGCCTGCCTGGTTTGTTCCTGGTGTCAGCGTTCACATACTCCTTGTTTCTGAGGCTCAGAAGTGTTATTTTCTGTTGCTTTTTACTGTGGGACTCGGGGATCTGGCTGGGGGGTTACTGAGGTATTCCCTCCTATTGGCTTTTTGGTGGTAAGGACAGCTGCCAGGAGCCTACAGGTTCTACTTGGAGAAGCCTAGGCCTTAGTGGGACGGCCCAGAAAGAAGGACGAAGCGAGGGAAAATGGGTCAGAAAGGAGAATTTTTGGAAGTGGTTTCAAAAGTTTTGAAAAAAGATGAGTGCAGCCTACGGCATTTCTTGATGCCGGGAGGCATCTGGGGAGGAAGGGAGAGTCTTGCAGCCCATCAGGTTTGCTGGAGATCTGAGGAGAGCAGCTGCCTAACGGGGTGGGGCCTGGAGTCTTTTGCTGGCGGTGAGGAGGTACGGAGGCTGTTGAGACACAGGCCTGGACCTTGGGATGGGCCGCAGGAAGTGGATGGAGCAGGCCGGGGCCAGTCCTTTTGAGTGTGTGCGTGCATTGTTCAAACACACTGAGGAATAGAGGAGTCTCCCTGCCCTCACTTTCCTTCTTGTTTTCTAATGGTGTGTGCTCATGGGTCAATGGCCCTGTGGGTAAGAGTATGGCGCTTAGTTAGAATTGCCCTGCAGAGGAAGTGAACATCTGAGAAGGTGGCAGTGCCCTAAAGCGGATGTACAGGTTGAGTATCCCTTGTGTACAGTGCTTGGAACCAGGACTGTTTTGGATTCTGGAATGTCTGTGCGTAGGTGATGAACATCTTGGGGACAGAATGTGAACATGGACTTGTGTTTTGTGACTTACACACACAGCAGGAAGTTAACTTTATACAATATTTTTAGCATGTCCATGTTTTGTCTGTGACCCATCCCATGAAGCCATGTGTAGAATTTTCCATTTTCTAACACTGTCTTATTGGCTCTGACAAATTTTGGGGGTTTTCGGTTTATGATATTCAACATATTTATATTTATGTTTGATTAGAACAAGAGCCATACTTAACATTCCTTCAGTTTCCTTGTTAAGAAATCAGCCTTTGGCTTTTGATACAGCCCTTTTAATTTAATCAAATCTCGAAATTCTGTGTTATTGTTGGGAATGTCTGGTGTAGATAAACCCAACGTAGAGTCGTACCTCGGCTCACCAGAATTGTGGAATGAATTCTGTGACCAGAATCTTGTAAAGAATTAAGGTCACGAACCAGAAGTCAGCAGTCAGGAGAGGAGATGGAAGAGTGGAATTCTGCTGTGGAGGTTGAAATCTCAGTGGAACAGTTTTCAGGGTTAGGTGCATGGGGGGTTTCTTCATTTTAAATAATATGCCCCAAATGTAATGAAGCTGTCAGGGGTCTGCCATGTGTAAGAGCATCGGTTGCCTTGCTCTGGGGATGATGGCATAAGGACAAGGTCAGAGGACCCACGATCCCTGGAAGCTTAGCAGGAAGACCAGCTTTGGAGGAGGGCTATGGAAAAGCCAGGATTCCAACAGGTGGGCGGAGGGGCCACCCCACGGGGGGTGGAAAGGCCGCTAGGAAGGCCGAGCTGGTGGGAGCTGGGAGAGGTGGTGCACCCTAGCGGCCTGCATCGGGGTTTCGACCTGGGAGCCAAGTCTGGCGTTCTCCCTCTAACTCAGCCAAGTACCCAAAGTTCCTCCATCCACAGAAACCCTGACCACACAGAACTTCTGTGAGCATTTGCTGGAAAAGTCTCTGGCACATAAGCATTCAGTGAATGCTACCTATTTTTCCATTTTCTAATGCATTTTCCAGTTTTTCGTGATGAAAGAGTAGAAGAAAAATTTAATGTCGGGTCTTTTTCAAGAGGACTTTAAAAACCATAGAATTATACTTTTCTTAAGCAAGGAATCTTGATTAAATCAGCAAAATAGAGTTCATCAAGTTGTACATTAATATTTTAATATCAAGAAATGAGGGTCTTTAATTATGCTACTTTACCATTTAGAACATTTGCATGCTAAGGATCATGAATATGTTGAATTATTAGTGGCCTCCAAATTAGTAATGGAGTTTTCCTGGGTTGTTGATATTAAAATACATTTTTCTTTGTTCTTTGGTTATAACCCACTCCCATTCCTAATTGTGTTCTGCTCAGGCTCAAATGAGCACTAGTTTATAATCACCAGTAGCAGGAAAATGTTCCTTCACAGTGTCTGCGGACCTGGCCTGAAGACCGTTAGCAGTGGGGACGCTGCAGACGCTTGCTCTTGTTAGTGTCCGGGTTTATCTGTCCTGTCTCAAAAATACTGTCGACCTCTCTTCCCTCCCCCCACCTCTTCCCCGTGTGCTCCTCTCTCCCTCTTACCTGGAATAATTGTTTTCTTTAAAGAAATCGCACAGCATTCAAGTCCTAGCCAGTCTTTTTGGTTCCTGGGTACCTGTGATGCTGAAACTCATCTGTGCTTCTCAGATCGAATCAAATCAGCCTGTATTTAGCCAGCTGTCCCTCATGGGAGATGTGTGTGATGAGATAGTGCTGGTGAGCTTTTGGACTCATTTCACTTCTTGAATCGGAAAAGGAACCGGCACAGATCTCCAGGCCGCGGCAGCAGTGGCATCATCCAGAGTCTGTCTGTAGAGGTAGTATTTTTGGTAGCTGGAAAATATGACACCGGTAATGTTGCATACCAATTAGTTGTATTAAAATATATATTATGCACAGCTCTGTATTTGCGTTTCAAAGTTTCCTTGACAACATCATTTAACTTCTCACTGTTCTTTTCATGTTGCTAGTATAAATATCTAATATGTTTTTGTTCAAAACATCAATTAGGCTTCAGTATAATCTTTATTAATACAGATCTGTTATTACAAGAAGACTGCTGAGCTATGATAATTTGCACAGCAGGAACAATAAAATATCTTCCTTTTTGATTCTGTCCCAGACTGGCTTTTTTCTTCTTACACACAGCGCACACCCCAAATCTCCCATGCTATCTTTACACTGCAGTGAAATCTTCAAAGCTCTAATATGCAAGACATTCTTTTCTCCCAAAGGGAGCACACTAGGAAGGCCCCAGATTGCAGGCAGATTGACAGAGATGTGAGTTTGGTATGGATCCCCACTTACAGTGTCCTCACGTCTTTGTCTTCTTGTAGCCCGGACTCCCCACTTCCTGCGGATCCAGAACGTGGAGGTGAACGCTGGCCAGTCGGCCACCTTCCAGTGCAGCGCGATTGGCAGGACCTCATCCAAGGAGGACAGACTGTGGTTACAGGTACAGTGCCACCGGCAGCGACACCTATGAGCATGAAGGGCGCTTACTGTGCGGGAGGAGCTGGGCCTGGAGTCCAGTCAGGTCCCTCATGTCAGGCTTCTTTCCAGTGCTCAGCCGTTCCTAGGTGTTCTCCATAAGCTGCTGCTGTTCTTTGCACTCTTTCTGAGCTTCTGTTTTCCTCTTTGCTTTTTTTCCCATTAAGTTTATTGGTACATTTAACACAAACAACAGTTACATTTATCATTGGGATCTTGTACCTTTACACAATATACCTTTGTTCTTGTTTTTTTCCCCCTCATACCCCTGCCCTTCCTTCACACCATTCTACTTCCAAAGACTTTGTTTCCTTTTTTGCATTTTTTCACATTTTTTCTTTTTTTTTCTTTTCCCTTATTTCCTTTCCCCTCCCCTTCCTGCTTCTCCTTTAGCCATTTTCTTCCTATTTCACATGCTCAGTTATACTATTTGAACCTCATTTACACCTTCAGTTTTTCACACCAGAGAAACTATTCAGTATTTACTCCAGTGTGTCCCATTTATTTCACTTAAGACTGTGGCCTCAATGTGCATCCATTTAGCTATAAATGACTCTAGTTTCTCATTCTTTGTGGCTGAGTAGTACTCCATTTTATAGAAAAACCACACCTCCTTTATCCAGTCTCCAGTTGATGGGAACTTGGGCTGTTTCCAAGTTTTAGCTATTACGAACTGTGCCACTACAAACATGGGTGTGCATGTATCACTGATTCTTTTAATTGTTTTGAAAAGATATACAGCAGAGGAATAGCTGGGTCAAAGCTTAGTCATCTCATTATCAAGTTATTTTTAGAGCAGCATATTAAAGTATGAAATAGAGCACTTTCCTTATCCTTTTCCTCTTCTCTTCCTCCTGAGAAAAATCCAAAGAATCACACACGCACTCTCACACAATTCACAGATCTTTTTGTGACTTGAATTTCTAAGACACTGACGTAATTGAAGAGATGAATGACACGTCTTTTACTTTCAAATGTTTAAAGTATGTGGACATGTATAATCTATAAAGTATATAGACACCTGTCTGTAAGGGATACATGTAGTACACAGATGTGTGTAGACCAGAGTACAGTTATGCAGATATCATCCTCAGTATCTTGCGTGACACGCGGTCTCCTGGGCCTCAGCCTGCTCTCTGCTCTCTGGAGTTCCGGTGGATGAGAATAGAAATAAATGCCCTGGCCCTCGGGCCCCAGTCCCATCTGCTCTGCAGGCTCTAGGTTTACTGGGTTTGCCCCGTGCCTCCTTCCCACTCCATTGCTGCTTCTTCCAAGTATTGATCTGCAGGCTCCTCATTCCCCATCTCGGCTGGAGTTGGACTGTTTCCCTCTCTTTCCTTGCTTTATAGGCTTACTGTTTTTGTGGTGTTGGGGCTCGAACCAGGTCCTCGAGTGTGCTACATAACCTCTCCAACAATGAGCCAAACCCGGCCCTTTTATGTATTAATTTATTTCATTTCCAGTTTGCTCCTGAGCTGTTCCCCCTCGGTACCTGCTCTTCTCACCTGAGCCACCCCCACTCCCTTTGCTGGCTTTGCCTGTGTCCCCCCCCATTTTCCCCCTTCTCTGGGGACATAATGACCACGGGGCATCGTCTTGTGTTCGTCCCTTTTCATCACGAGAACTTAAGTAAATGTTCATCCTTCTTGCTTCATCTCCGGAGAAATGGAAGCATCGCCATGTTCTCCCCAGGCTGAGTCGCTGAAGGAGGTTTCTTAAACACGCCCCCAGGATGTGCCCTCAGGCCTGAAGTCACTGTCTTCACATCCTGTCCCCCTGCACAGCTTCCCTAGCCATGAAGGAGCCAGGTGTGCAAGAGGCCAAGACTGTATGTTCCAAATTCATCCTTACTTTTATTGTTGCTCCTAAAAGTTTTGTAATCAGTACTCTAAATGCTTTTTGGAGGTGGTAAAAATTGTTGTCAGTGTTTAACTTTTTTTTTTTTATCTCACTTCTCAGTTATTTTTAAATCCTTGATGTTAGGGATTCAGAATTACTTTCTTTGTAAGTGGTTGCTTGTAGGAGACGTTGTCCAGATTGGCTCGGTATTCAGGACAAACCCCCTTTATTCACATGTTCCTCAAAGCATGAAGTATCTTACAAAATGAAACTTCTCTTTCCATCTTTGCTTTAACTCTTAATTTTTTCATGAAAAAATAATCTTTTACTTTTCGTATTTGTGGACTGTAACTGGAGTGGAAAATATAAGCTATCACTTCTAAAGTCCTAAGATTTACCAAGAATTTATTAGCACATTTAGTTCATAGTTTGCTCTTTTTGTTTTTTCAAATGTCCTGGACGTGGGATACTCACTTAAATTGGAGCAGTTGAGGTTGGGAATCTTTCATTATTCCCTTTTATAGTGGGAGAATTTTATTTTGGGAATCTGTGATGTTATAGGAGAGAGCTGGTTTGTGTTCTCAAAAAATACAGGGTGAGGTGTACAGTTCTCAGCAGTGCCTCCATTGTAGAATTGCCCGGGCTGTTTTACAGTGATGCTGGATATTCCTAGGTTCTGATGAAATTGGTCTGGGGTGGACCCAGTTTCTCATTAAAGGTTCCCCAGGTGATTCAACCACTGTGATCCCAGGGTGAAAATGACTACTGTGAAATGATAAATGATCAGCTTTATTAGAATTCAAAATTAAAACCGTGTGTTTGGGTGTTGCCTTTTTGTGTTGGAAATGTTTGTGTGTGGTCAGCCTTTCTTACTGGTCTGTAACCTCATTTACAGGTGATGCTGCAAAGAATCACAGCTGTGTATCAGAGCAGTTTTGTTAGTAGGTATACAAGCTGCAGAAAGGATTTGAAAAGAAGTAAAATTATGATTACCTTGACAAATTTAACTTGGGTATTTCAAACCATATATATGAAAGCATAAATTTAACAACACTTGCTATCATAGAAAAAAATATCAAAAACACACAGCAGACTATCTTCAGTTGCTATAGCAACCCTCTAGTGTCTAAAATTTTGAGTGGTTAAAATCGCATTCATTATTGTTTTAGTCAGTTATCTACCTACAGCTGTATCTATATAATATAATATTGAACATACACGCTGAATTCAGGGGATGCTTTCAAACTAATGTGTTATTTTAACATTAGGATTTTGGATGACCTTGATTTAGAATTAAAGATTTATTTTATCTTGGTGAGACAGTATGGTATGTCCAGGGGGATTCAGGAAGAAATTAATACAGTTTACTTTGTAGTATTAGCCAACGCAGGCAGCTGGTCTTTGCATGGGATGTGGCAGAAGTGAAGGCAGCTGGGGAAGAGATATCCCTCCCCAGGGCAGCTTGGGACTCTTGGTCAGGAATTGAAATTGGACCTTGCACTCGGCTTGCAGATCAGGGAGGATCAAGAGAAAGGAATCAGCCCCTTCTAAGGGTCAGCCATTTCCTTTGGCCCAGGGAACTGTAGATCCAGGAACTCCTTTCTTCTGTGTGTCTTCTCCCGTTCATTGGAAGGCTGCTTCCGAGGATCCCAGATTATTGAGGCACACGGAAGGCACAGGTAGCCCTGATTCTGGAATTCCAGGGCAAAGGCTGCTGATGTCAAGACTGTCTCTGTCTGTCTTCACTGATATGGGCCTTAGTGTGGAGATCTTGGGAAATTTGGACACTCCTAGGGTCTCACTCAGTTTTTTTCCTCTTGTCTCTTCCTTTTGGACGTGGAGAGGAAAAAAATGGAAGGCATTTTAGCTAGATGATTTCTGGTTTAGGTTGTTCTGAGGGTACTAAGAGAGTTTCAGTCTGATAATCTGGTGTTATAATTGTCCCTCCATATCCCTGAGGGGGTGGTTTGGGACCCCTGCAGATACCCAAATCTAGGGGTGCCTATGTCTTTTATCTAAAAAAGTGTGGTATTTTTTGTAACCCTTGCACTTAAATCATCTCTGACTTACTTACAAAATTGAATGCAGTATAATCATATGTGATCGTTTCCACATTGTATTATTCAGGAAGCAGTGACAAGAAAGAACCTGTAAATGTTCAGTGCAGGCCAACTGTTTTCAAATACTTTTGGCCCATGGTTGGTTGAATCCATGGATGTGGAGCTTGAGGACACAATGAGCTATGTCCTCAAATACAGGTCCTCAAACACAGGTCAATACAGGTCTTGACAAGGGGACATTTTGTTGGGTTCTCCTTGAAGTGGAAAGAAAATGCATAGGCCTTCATGGATTTTAATTTTGCAGCTGCCCTGAGGAGTGGCATAGCAATGCCAGGTTGCTTGTTGTCCTGGTGTGACAGTGTGGGACAAGGTGTGGACGTTGCTGCAGGGCGCACAGCAGCAGCAGCCGTCACTGGCCCAGTCTGACAGGGTGAACTGCTCCTCCTTCTCACCCCCCTGCCCACATCGTGGCCCTCTACTCCCTTTTTTCAAAGGAAGGAGAATTGGCTGTTGTCCAGGTATAATTGTCATTTGTCTCTGTTATGAGAACTGCTGTCCATTAAGCGCAAAGGGCAAGTGACACATTAATAGACTTTCTGTTTATTCTTAGAATTTAGAAGGCTGTTATTACCTTTCATTAAGAAATTTGTGTTTTTGTACTGCACACTTTGTGTGTGCAGGTGTTTGATTATGGGTTAAGAAGATGTTGCTGTAGCATGGGGCTATTACCACTCGGATCTGGCCGCCGTTGGCCAAATTTCATTCATTCTTGTTCCTCTTGTGCAGGTGCCTTTAAATGGCCTAGTTCTTTTGCAGGAACTGAATGACACATAGATAAAGTGGCTCTTTCAGTTAAATAGCACTGATCTGTTGATAAGCCATCCACAAAACTCTATTCCTAGAAAAGAATCCTGGTGAAAGTAGCCATTCAGGTATAGAGAAATGAGGGACTGTTTTCTTATTGAAGTCCTGGACAAAAGTCTCAATCTCCTACAAGGCAATATGACACAAGGTGAAAGAAAGAAAGACACAAAAACGAGACTTAAACAGAAAGTAGGGATCTGGG